CAGATTAAAAACAGGGTTAGAAGAAACACAATCTAACACGAGAATAAAGACGGTTGCAAATAAGAAATACTATGACCGCAATACAGTTGTTAAGGATATTCAAGTGGGTGATCAAGTATTGGTGATTAAACCAAAAAAGGGAAATAAACTAGCATTACACTCGGAAGGCCCATTCAAAGTAACAAAGAAATTGTCTAAATATAATATTGAAATACAAAAAGGACGGTGTCATAAAGTCTATCACCTGAATAGAGTTACCAAATATTTTGACAGGAATAACTGTACAGATACTAACGGTAACAAAGATAACATAATGCATGGCACACTCGCGACAGTTATAACGGAAGAAGAGACTGAAGACACAATCAGCAGTGGTGATGATATGAATGTACCTGTTATTAACCATAGTGATAACACAGTGATTGATATTAATACTGATCTAAGTGATACACAGAAAGCTGAAGTTAATGAAATATTACATGAGTTTAAGGACATAATTTCAGATATTCCCGGAAAGACATCCGCCGGAATTCATAAAATAGAATTACTGGATAGCAAACCAATTACACTAAAGCCGTACACCGTACCACTACATATGGTAGATCATTTAAAGGAGGAAATTAATACAATGTTAAATTTGGGAATAATAGAAGAGTCCAATTCACCGTATTCCTCTCCTCTGGTGTTAATTAAAAAGAAAGACGGCTCTATTCGGACATGCGTTGATTATAGAAAGCTTAACAAATCAGGATATACTGTTAGCCCAGTTGTATAAAGCAAAATATTTTACCAAGTTGGACTTAACAAAAGGATACTGGCAGATTCCCCTGGATAATAAGAGCAAAGAGTACACAGCTTTTCAAGGCCCTGATGGGCTATATCAATATAATTATATGCCATTTGGCCTAGCAACTGCCCCAGCAACATTTAACAAAATAGTTAGGAAACTATTCACAAATGTAAAACATGTAGTTACGTATTTTGACGACATCTGTATCTACACAGATGACTGGGAAACACACGTGAATGTCACTAGACACGTTTTTGGCATTCTTAAAAAAGCGGGTTTTACCGTTAAACCCTCCAAGCTAGAAATCGGAAAACAATCCATTGAGTTCCTGGGGCACACGGTAGGTGCGGGTTTATTGAAACCCGATAGCAACAATTTAAATAAAGTGTTAAGAATTGATCCGCCTAGAAATAAGAAACAAGTCAGAGGGTTAATTGGTCTGATCTCATATTATAACAAATTCATTCCAAACTTTTCAACACTAACAGCACCGTTGACTGACCTCACCAAGAAAGGTAGACCTAACAATATTCATTGGACGGATGAATGCCAACAGGCATTGGAAGCTATACAAAAGTATTTAACGAATAACCCAATATTAGTGCTACCAGACAATAATGACCAGTTTATTGTTCGAACAGACGCA